GACGCAGCCGCGTTAATAGCGATACGCGCGTATCATCCTTCTCTATTCGACCTTGCTCTCCTCTTCCGCCAGAAAAAGAAAATCTTGACTTCGAGAGTGATCAAAGGTCTTAATTCAATTGTGCTTAATTCAGTTAGCCGCAGAGATTCTGTAGCAACCGAGAAAGAATTTTCTCTTCAAATATTTATCCCCGAAAGAGATTTCTAACGATTAGAAAAAAGCAATTGTATAAATAATAATTTATAAGCGAATTATTTGTTTTTAAATATAGCCATCTCGACTAGGATCAATGACGGCTGTCTTACATAAAGCCACTCCAGTATCCGAAATCCATATGAGATCCTATGAAAGTAAGAGTTTTAGCAATATTGAATTCTATTAGCCTCGAAAAACAAAAAGGAGAGAAAAAAAAAAAAAAAAAAAAAAAAAAAAATACATACGAGTTTGTAGCTGTGATTTGACGTCGATGGGATTTATGAGCGAGAGGATAGTTCGCTGCTCGTGACGGGCAGCTTGTTCTTAAAATAAATGTCGACTGTACATGTGTCGTACCAGTCGGATATTTATCCTCTCTCTTTTTTGGTGGAAAAGGGCAGGGTAGGGGGGAAAGCGCACGCGTGATTTTACTCCCGGTCTCGCGAGAGAGGAAAAGGGAAGAGGGTGAGGAGGAGGAGGGCAGAGGGCGAGGGAGAATGCGATGAGCCTTTGCACCGGCGGCTACGAGAACAATCGTAGAGCAGGAACAACACGCGTGGAGACACGAGCGGTTCGAGGGTCGTCGGAACAAAGCGACCGCGCCATGCATATGCACGAGGGACTTTGTGTACCCCGGTTTTCGGGCCGGTGATTGCAGGTGGGGAATAAACCGATACGGAGTCTCCTGCTTAAATACGCGTCGTGACCCACTTCCGTAAGTTTCGGACATCCGTTCTAACGGCGACGAGAACTCTACTCATCTCTCTCTCTCTCTTTCTCTTTCTCTCTCTATCTACCGGTGAAGCAATCTTCCTCGTTTCAAATATCAACATTTACACACATCGGGCTGCGCGCGCGTGTCAAAGGTCAAAATAGCGACGTAAGTTACGAGTGCGCGCATTAATTTTACAACGAAACGGTTTGGCTTTAACTTTCGAAACGAGTTACACGTTTTGCCATTTGTTGTTTTTTTTTAGAATATAGAATGGTCGCGGTGAAAATCGTCGGTTTACGAGAAATGTCGCTTTTCGCGAGATTGTAACTGCGTAAAAAAAAAAAAAAAAAGAGAACACTCAATCAGACGACTCTTGTAATCAGACGTAACGACGGAGATGGTCTTTCAATTATTTCGAAAAATAATATCTCGTGATCTCGCTCGATTTATCCTACATTATTTTAATTAATTTGAATTCCCCGATATCAGTTCGCGCGTATATTTAGCGCGGATATCAAGGACGAGATAATTTATGGCCGGCTTTTTTTAATATTCGAGGCATGCGGAGCGCGTATCGGTGTATCAATCTACAAGTACGACCGCCGACCAACCGGGACGATCAATTTAAAAGACCGTACGTTTGCGCGAAACGCGAAGATGATTTATGCCCCCGTGCAATGCGAATATCCCGTACTCGAATCGCTCGTTTATTCGTTCCCTCGCTCGCAAAAGGCCAGATTTCGGCAGCCGGACGGCCCGACATACCTCAATTAGCCGCGTAAATCATCACGGTTCGGAAATCAAACGTTAAATGACTCGCGCTGCATTCCCATTTTCGCGATTGTGGGACATAATTTTCAACATAATTGCACATTGGATGAAAGCGATGACGCGGCCGTGCATTAGTTGACAGATCGCAATTATTTGGCATTCTCGTACGATCTACTATTTCGGATGATTGTGCGAAATCGTATTAAAAATCGCGGATCAATCGTTGGTTGAAACGTGCTGATGAATATAATAGCGATCGCAGCGCATTTACATATGCGCGCATTCTATCGCTGATTTAGATACTCGTTTACACATACTTATACATTACAATCGTATATGGTGTATTTATTTTATAAAGCAAATAATATACATATATATATATAAATACCTTACTAACAAATTGAATATATTGTTATTTTAATCACATAATTTGACAACGTGATAAATATTGAAATATAAAATCGATCGATGTGATTATATAATTGCGCTTTTTATAATTATTTTAAATAAATATTGGCAACATAATAATAGTGTATTTTTTAAATGTTTTAATTCATGATTCATTTGAAAATCGTGTGCATTATATCCGGTGTAAACCATGTTCTCGCATTGTTAATGTAAGCAGTAGATAGATAAAGTAGCGGAAATTAATCTAGTCCAACAACACATACGTTACTAAACGAGAGCTCTTTCTTCGTGGAACTGAATTTACCCGGCAATTTGACTCGCATCGCTTACAATGGCATTTTAGTGCTCAAGTTTAACGAGTCCTTCACGTCGACGTTACGCCCGGGGAAATTCGATCGGGATTTTCTGAAATCCGACAATCGAAGTATGCATTCGGTGACGATGAATCAACCGATTCACCACAACTCGAAGGGGCGTTCCGTTGTCGCGATCTTCTCTCCGTAATGATTATTAGCTATCGCGTCTGGAAATCGGGTGGATTTCCTGACGCGAGGCTCGCCGATAAATTTGCAGATTGAATTTCACTTTCTTTTACGTCCGACTGCCGATTTTTGTGGTCCAGTCTGTGAAGTGCCGATTTTGCGAAAGGAAGAGGAGGTGGTGCACGAAGAGATGCGCTACGCGAACGAAAGGTTAATGTCCGGTTTTCTCGCGGCGGAACCGCAGTCTCCTCGTGCGGTGGTCCATCGTCGATGCTGAATCGCGCGCTCGGTACGTTCGCGGAATTAGTGGTGGTGGTGGTGGTGCTCGAGCGGACTCTTTCGCGCGGATGACAGCTGGACGTTTTCGCCGCGAGGTTGACAGTGAGATCCTCGAGCTCAGTTGAGCTGGGAAGAGACGAGTCGTCTCTCGCGTCGCCGAGAGTCCGAGACACGCCGTCGGTGATATCCGACGAGAACTACTGCGCGAATCGGGTGGTGATCAGTAGTGATGCCGTGATGGGCTGCAGCTCGAGATCGTTCTTCCTGACCACGCTTCTCCTCGTGGTTGGATTACTCTCTATCGCGCTGTTCGCCGAAATATCTGACGCGACACGTAAGTCTGCCTTTATTATTCTGAAATTATTCTTGTGAATGAGTTTGCAGAAAAAAAAAATACATACGAGTTTGTAGCTGTGATTTGACGTCGATGGGATTTATGAGCGAGAGGATAGTTCGCTGCTCGTGACGGGCAGCTTGTTCTTAAAATAAATGTCGACTGTACATGTGTCGTACCAGTCGGATATTTATCCTCTCTCTTTTTTGGTGGAAAAGGGCAGGGTAGGGGGGAAAGCGCACGCGTGATTTTACTCCCGGTCTCGCGAGAGAGGAAAAGGGAAGAGGGTGAGGAGGAGGAGGGCAGAGGGCGAGGGAGAATGCGATGAGCCTTTGCACCGGCGGCTACGAGAACAATCGTAGAGCAGGAACAACACGCGTGGAGACACGAGCGGTTCGAGGGTCGTCGGAACAAAGCGACCGCGCCATGCATATGCACGAGGGACTTTGTGTACCCCGGTTTTCGGGCCGGTGATTGCAGGTGGGGAATAAACCGATACGGAGTCTCCTGCTTAAATACGCGTCGTGACCCACTTCCGTAAGTTTCGGACATCCGTTCTAACGGCGACGAGAACTCTACTCATCTCTCTCTCTCTCTTTCTCTTTCTCTCTCTATCTACCGGTGAAGCAATCTTCCTCGTTTCAAATATCAACATTTACACACATCGGGCTGCGCGCGCGTGTCAAAGGTCAAAATAGCGACGTAAGTTACGAGTGCGCGCATTAATTTTACAACGAAACGGTTTGGCTTTAACTTTCGAAACGAGTTACACGTTTTGCCATTTGTTGTTTTTTTTTAGAATATAGAATGGTCGCGGTGAAAATCGTCGGTTTACGAGAAATGTCGCTTTTCGCGAGATTGTAACTGCGTAAAAAAAAAAAAAAAAAGAGAACACTCAATCAGACGACTCTTGTAATCAGACGTAACGACGGAGATGGTCTTTCAATTATTTCGAAAAATAATATCTCGTGATCTCGCTCGATTTATCCTACATTATTTTAATTAATTTGAATTCCCCGATATCAGTTCGCGCGTATATTTAGCGCGGATATCAAGGACGAGATAATTTATGGCCGGCTTTTTTTAATATTCGAGGCATGCGGAGCGCGTATCGGTGTATCAATCTACAAGTACGACCGCCGACCAACCGGGACGATCAATTTAAAAGACCGTACGTTTGCGCGAAACGCGAAGATGATTTATGCCCCCGTGCAATGCGAATATCCCGTACTCGAATCGCTCGTTTATTCGTTCCCTCGCTCGCAAAAGGCCAGATTTCGGCAGCCGGACGGCCCGACATACCTCAATTAGCCGCGTAAATCATCACGGTTCGGAAATCAAACGTTAAATGACTCGCGCTGCATTCCCATTTTCGCGATTGTGGGACATAATTTTCAACATAATTGCACATTGGATGAAAGCGATGACGCGGCCGTGCATTAGTTGACAGATCGCAATTATTTGGCATTCTCGTACGATCTACTATTTCGGATGATTGTGCGAAATCGTATTAAAAATCGCGGATCAATCGTTGGTTGAAACGTGCTGATGAATATAATAGCGATCGCAGCGCATTTACATATGCGCGCATTCTATCGCTGATTTAGATACTCGTTTACACATACTTATACATTACAATCGTATATGGTGTATTTATTTTATAAAGCAAATAATATACATATATATATATAAATACCTTACTAACAAATTGAATATATTGTTATTTTAATCACATAATTTGACAACGTGATAAATATTGAAATATAAAATCGATCGATGTGATTATATAATTGCGCTTTTTATAATTATTTTAAATAAATATTGGCAACATAATAATAGTGTATTTTTTAAATGTTTTAATTCATGATTCATTTGAAAATCGTGTGCATTATATCCGGTGTAAACCATGTTCTCGCATTGTTAATGTAAGCAGTAGATAGATAAAGTAGCGGAAATTAATCTAGTCCAACAACACATACGTTACTAAACGAGAGCTCTTTCTTCGTGGAACTGAATTTACCCGGCAATTTGACTCGCATCGCTTACAATGGCATTTTAGTGCTCAAGTTTAACGAGTCCTTCACGTCGACGTTACGCCCGGGGAAATTCGATCGGGATTTTCTGAAATCCGACAATCGAAGTATGCATTCGGTGACGATGAATCAACCGATTCACCACAACTCGAAGGGGCGTTCCGTTGTCGCGATCTTCTCTCCGTAATGATTATTAGCTATCGCGTCTGGAAATCGGGTGGATTTCCTGACGCGAGGCTCGCCGATAAATTTGCAGATTGAATTTCACTTTCTTTTACGTCCGACTGCCGATTTTTGTGGTCCAGTCTGTGAAGTGCCGATTTTGCGAAAGGAAGAGGAGGTGGTGCACGAAGAGATGCGCTACGCGAACGAAAGGTTAATGTCCGGTTTTCTCGCGGCGGAACCGCAGTCTCCTCGTGCGGTGGTCCATCGTCGATGCTGAATCGCGCGCTCGGTACGTTCGCGGAATTAGTGGTGGTGGTGGTGGTGCTCGAGCGGACTCTTTCGCGCGGATGACAGCTGGACGTTTTCGCCGCGAGGTTGACAGTGAGATCCTCGAGCTCAGTTGAGCTGGGAAGAGACGAGTCGTCTCTCGCGTCGCCGAGAGTCCGAGACACGCCGTCGGTGATATCCGACGAGAACTACTGCGCGAATCGGGTGGTGATCAGTAGTGATGCCGTGATGGGCTGCAGCTCGAGATCGTTCTTCCTGACCACGCTTCTCCTCGTGGTTGGATTACTCTCTATCGCGCTGTTCGCCGAAATATCTGACGCGACACGTAAGTCTGCCTTTATTATTCTGAAATTATTCTTGTGAATGAGTTTGCAGTGTTTATTACGCAGATCGATCTATGAACAATTCACCCGTGTGTCTATGTGAGAATTAGATCGTCTCCAAAAATAAAAATATTTTTGGCATTAAAAAATTTAACATTTCTCTACCAAAAATATCCACAAATATATTATTAATTATTTAAAACATTTATGTGGAAAGTGGCATATAAATCAAGTTTCGGAATAACTGTATTATTTTTATATTTTCAAATTTGAAAGATGTTTGAATTTTTTTCGCACAAATTTTTGTAATTGACTGATTGATATCATATCTATATTATGTGTATGTTTTAATTATTTTATCAATTTATAAGAGATTACAGGGTGCAAGTAATTTATATATTAGTTGCATATAGAGAGTTTGTGGATTTATATAATCGTGCATGAATCTTTTTGTCAATTTTTATTAGATTGCGCGATAGTGTAGGAGCGGATCAGTAATGTATGATAGATTACATAATTTAACTGCAATTTTGCTGCAGAAAATTGTAATGATGATATTGCCTTTGTGTCCTAAATGAAGGCATACGTTAACTTGGCTTTTCAGCCGTTATTACATTTTCTGCCTTTTGTGAAACTCTATCGATATTATCATGCTAAGGGCAAGATGATCATGTAATGAGCGATAAATGCATAATTTGACTGCAGCGTCGACATGAAAGATTTTAGCTATCCAATTCAATAATGCACGTACGCGCAATAGAGATTTATAATCTGAATTAACCTAGAGCGTTTATAGCAGCTTTTATCCAACGCAAATATGATTTTATGGCGCACTAAAGATTTCAATGCATGAATAAAATTTTTTCTTTTTTTTTTTACAAGTTTTAGTAATATTTATCGTTTTGCGTTAAACTTGGCAAAAGACTTCAAATTATGACACAATAAACATGTTAAATAAAATATAGTAGAATTCTCGTAAACATGATAACAGAATTTATAAATATAATGATTTATAAATGGAATATAATAAAATTCATAAACATGAATACATAAAGCTATATCTTCTTTATATAATAATATAATTTGTCAATATAATTCTTATAAGCTAAAAGGAAATTATGATAAAAAAGCGTAATAAAAATATTGTGCTATTATAAACTAGAAATATTCTTAAATAAAGACATGACTTGGCACTTTAGCGCAGTAATAACCATCTACATATACGTTGATTATTTTCAGAATTCTCATTATATACAAATGAAAGAAAACATTTTATTGAAATTTTTGAAAGACCGACGTTTCTACATGTATGATGAATTTCAGATAAAATGGTATTCAAATCTGTCTTTACCGTTTGGAGCAACGCGTTCGGAATAAGAGATTACGCGAGTGTAATATGAATTTCCTGTTTTGCATTTTTTTTTTTTTTTTCGTCCTCTGTCTTCCCTCTCGAAATGCAATCGCATAATTGCGGGCGATTAGCATTCCGCGCGAGAAGATCGCGGAGATTCCGTCGCATCCGCCCAAGGAAGCCTCTCATTAGACCGCGTACCGGAACTCGATGGGTCTAATTATTTTCCGAGTACCTCCGAAATCTCCCTCCATCCCTCTCTCTCTCTCTCTCTCTCTCTCTTTCGGAGAGATTCGCATTTCGACAGATTCGAATCGGGGTCACGCGCATGCATCGATATCTCCCTTTCTCCTCCCTCGTCTCATTGCGCGCCCTTAATGCCGCGATCGCGCATGTATCGACACGTGTGTATAACCGCAAACTGTTTCTCTCGCAAGCAGCCATTCCTAAAATAGATTGCTCGCGCGAGCATGTTTCGCGGATCGTGCGTAGAAGTTTGCTCGAGATAGCGAATTGTGCAAGAAGAAGCATGCACAGCCGTATTTATAACTCGAGAAAGTAGGAAGGAACATTTACGTTCGATTTTATGAGACGTGCGAAAACGTTTATGGTTTTCGTACGATAAAAGTTGCCGCGAAAACTTATTTTCCTTTTCTTACGCGACATTATCGGAGAGAAGTTTTCTATATTCTTATACGCTTACGAAAATATGGTTTATTAAAAAAGGATTAAATAAATTTGTCATGTTTAGATAAGTGTTTTCTCTTACATTTGTTACAAAAGCGCATAATATAAGATCGCACCTTCTCTTCATATCTTTGCATCAAAAAAAAAAAAAAAAAAAAAAAAATAAAGTTATACGTATACATAAATTCTGACGAATCCAACCGTATCGAGTTATGCACGGTGGTAAAATTTCAATATAATTGAATAAGAAGCTAAAAATTTTGTTGAATATGATACTGTTGTAATTATATCCAGCTTGTGACATTTTTAAAATTGCTACGTCAGCTTTTTGAAAATCGTAAGAAAAAAGGGCAGAAAAAAAAACACACGAAAACGCATTGTGCGTAATGATGAAATGGCCTGTTTAGTCGAGAGAGTACACGGACGCAACACGAAAAGATAGGGACGACACACAACGGAATATAATCTCCCTTTCCCCTATACTGTCGGATCGTACTGCAGATTCAGGCACTGTGTCCCGGTGGGTCATGGAAACGGGTTGGGGGAGGGAATACGGGGCGCGAACGCGAAGGGAACAAGGGAGGGACGATGGCTTCTCGCTCAAAGGATGCTGAAGCAAATGGGATGCGGACGTTGTTGTCACGACCAGGCGTGAGGTCGCTGATATTCCCTTGTCTTTTATTAAGGAGGGCTTCCTTTCTACGTTTGCGCCGCTCGTTCTTCCTTTCACTGCGCGTCGCTCTGTTTAGCAGCCGCCACCGATGTTCTTTTTCGCGCACTTCGTTATGTCCTTCTCTCTCTCTCTCTCTCTCTCTCTCTCGTTGTACCGATACACATAGCCACACCGCAATGCAACCCCGCGAATAATACTATAATTATTTTTACGTTTTTTTTTCACTATGCTTTTCTCTTTTTCCTCTTTCTCTCTTTTTCTCTTTATTCAGATTTATGTTTGTATCTCTCTCACACGATTCTTTGCGATGTTTTATCCGCTCTGATTTATCCGTATATTGATAGTTTTTCTTAATCATTAACATAGCCGACCATGAGATAAATGTGATAAATAATGACTTTATTGCGTTCCACAAAAAATTGCTGGATTAACTGCAGTAAAACTGAAATTTGGAAGCTTCTAAATTTTTGTTCAATGTCAAAAAATAAAAAACTGCATTATATAACAAGGATAGAAATCTTTTTATATGTAAATATAATAATAATGCAGTCACACACACACAGAATAAGTATTCGAACAATTAGTAATATAAAGTTAAAGTATTATAGTATCACTATAGAATAACGAATATATAACTAATATGCATCAATTACAGAAATATACACATATTTAATGTTGCAAGAAACAATTTTAATAATTAATATTTTATACTTTCGAAAACTACCCAATTGCTTAATATTCCATAATCAGAATAATAATAAATAAATTCGTAGAATCGTGTATACTACGAATATTAATTTTAATTCTCCGTGATGGGACGGCGGGAAAAGGTTTGACGTGATATTCTATCTCCAGAAATATTCGAAAAATATTTAATATTTGCTTAATATCGTGCCCATACATGATGCAGAACTTTCGGAAAATATTCGCGAATGACCTCGTCTCCTTTCATTCAATCTTTCGTTTCTTTCGAAGAAAACTTTCTTATTCTTTTTCCCGTGCGATCTCGTCGTCGTGTTTTAAATTTTCTACGTTTATTCTAGACCTTTCTCTTTGAGAATCGTACATAATTATGTTTGTCTCAATATAACATCGTTTTTTTTCCTCTTTCTTCTCCTATCATTACACGGGCGGAATTTCAATAAGACGCGTTTGATTTTACGGAAAGACGTCACCGGGATGCATAGAGACTTTACTTTGATCAAAAGCGCCGCTTTAACATTCGATGTCCTAACGCTGCCTTTAAAAATACCATTTATTTTTTCTACGTCGCGATATTGATTCTGTGAAAATGCAGCAGCCGACAGCCGACCATTATAAATGTATCTTAAATGTTACGCGTCTCGTACATCACTCGTTTCGCTTTGTAATTATCTTTGAATCACGCTGTTTTACTCGGCATTTTTCTTACTGCACATTTTTTTGCCATTATTGTAGCAAATAAATGCTGGATATACGATGCGATAATTTCTATTTAGATTGATTTATATTAAGTTGCGAGATATGCTTATGTTCCTTCGAAATGTATTTTTTATTACTATTCCGCTCTATCTACGATCTCTTTGCAGATTATATCTGCTCTTTCGCAGTCTCATTTATTAGGTCTTCTTTCATATTCTTCTCAGAAGAACTTTTTTTACTCTTTTTTTTATCACTTTCTTGCGATTTCTCTCTTTTTCTCTTCTTCTCCCTGATTTTGGAGCGATGTTTATTTTTTAGGTTTCTCTTCATAAGCCTATAAACTACAATCTTATTTCTCGACTTCTATGTCTTTTGTACATTCTCGTTAGCGCGATATACGCCGAGATTCTCTAAGGCGCGATTCGCAGATAGTATTTGAAACCATCTCTCACTTTCTAGGTCACTCTCTTCCATCTCCTACCAACTCCGCAATAAAAGTTTGCGACTTCGTAACGCGAACCTGCAGTCTCTCCTCTCTCTCTCTCTCTCTCTTTTTCTTTCCTTCGTGCGTTCTTCTCTTTCGTACCTATATCCTGTGAGATTGATAATACGTTTTTACAGTTGAGATCGACCGGGACTTTTTATCGTTCGTAAGACGTTTTCTGTCATCTTCGCGAAAAAGCAAGTACCGTCATCAACAACGTCGCCGAAATTCGTGTTAATGCGTCATCGATAATTTAAATGTTTCTTTTTTTTCGGCAACAATGTGTCGAACCGAGCTATGTATATAGCGTGAACGTGAAAATCAATTTTATGACAGTCGCGCGACACGCTCTGCTTTCATATCGCGTGCGAATAAAACGCTCGTTATCTTCGACAGATTTTCCCGT